TATAAAAATCCATTTCATTACCTTACAGTCATGTGTTTTAGGACTTACAGATTCATCATCTTCATTTGTTGATTCCTGTTATTATTAATCAGCACATGGTGGGTCTACTTATTTTCCATGATTTTCTCCAGGCACAGGTGCGTTATGAAATTTAAGCTCTATTTCCACTGCACACATTAAGCTTTGAAAGATTTTTCTTTATTGTACACTAAAAGCTACCTTTTAGTGCTGCCAAATTCCTGGTATTAACTCCATGTAAATTTTCTTATTGTCACTCACCTGCCCAGAAGCAGAAATTCTCCCGCTAGACCCAGGCGCCTCATGGCCATCAGCAGACCTCTCACCGTCATACCCTCACAGAAGCAGGCCACCACCCGGGCCTTAGGCAAGTGACTTGTGAGCTTCTTCAGCAGCTTATCAAAGCTCTGCTCTCCTGCATTACTGTAGATTTTGTAAGAGTGGGCGATGCAAATCCCTTCCTTCGCTGACATATCTTTGAAGGCTTCCATCCCACTTTCTCCATAGTTGCCTGTGTGAAAACATAGATAAGCAGAGGAATAGTGAAATGAGATTGTTGCATTAATTGGATGTAATCAGAATGTAGGTGTTAGGAGCATGAAAGTCATGGTGCAGGACTTGGAACCTGAAGAACTGAATTTCAGTTTTTGCTCTTTTGCTGAATTGCTTATTTTGGGCAAATTACAATTGAACCACATTATACATGCATTCATCATTTATATTTTCACTGTGATGGAGAGAATAATATAAAAAGGGTAAGCAATTCATCATCCTTTTATGACTGAAAAACAGCTCTTATTCTAAGTATGAGTTGATGGAGATATGTATCAGCTATTTTTTTTATTTGCATTCGATCTCACTTCTCTTTGCTTTTCATTGATGATAATTTCATCCTACTGAGATTTTTGTATTTAAAGATATAGTACATATGAGTAATACATGTAGTCTATATAGTATAGATGTTGCCATATAAATGTTTTAAAAAGTATTATACTATATGTAATATTCAGTATATTATATATTTATAATCATGAGAATTTATGGTTTGGTCTTAACTGAAAAACTGAGATCCTTAATTAAGATTTAGTCTTGTCACAGATGAATGTGTAAACTTATGAAAAACGTTTACAGTTTTATCTTATACAAACATGGGGTAGTTATTGATAAGGATGAAAAAGTTCAAAGTCCTTTTCAAAATTTGGAGACTAAGGACTAATGGTAGTCTTTTAAAATTAATGGAAAAGGGGATTAATATTGACAGTCAGTTATATGCCAGGACACCAGGACCTTTATATATGTGATCTAATTTAGCACTCACAATAAAATATTGATGTAGATATTATGAGTTCCATTCCATATATAGATCAGAAAACAGATAAAGCAGTTAGGTCCGCATTTACCTGGAGTTACTCTAGCAGTAAGTGGAGGGCTGAACTCCATTCACAGATCTAATAGCATAGGTTCTGCTCCCTCTACTTGTCCAAGGCTGACTCTTAGGAGTCTCAGAATTCTAGTTACATACTCATTTCTCTTTTCTATTTGAAAGTGATAATTCTCCAATTTTAGATATTTTTGGAACATTTTAAGGCTATATATTTTATACAGGGCTCATATTCTGAATTTTCAAAATATTAGATATATGAGGGGGATTGTTTTGAAGAATACAAGAGGCTATTACAAGATAACCAAGCTGTAGAACATATAAGGATGCGACTGACCTAAAAATCAACTTGACCTAGGAACTGGAATCTCATCAGGATGAGTAGATATCAAATTAATAAGGAGCACTGAACATTCAATCACATAGGGTTCACTATATGTCTATAACTGCAATAAAAATAATTCCACAACAATTTGATTTTGGGAAAGTCAGTTTACATATGCTAGCTCACTGCTCCTTACAACTCTGTGATAAAGGTTAATGGTATCTCCTCCTGGCTGATAAAACTGAAGTTCAAATACAGATAGTAGGTGTCAGGATCTTGGTTGGAACATATGTCTCTGATTCCTGTCCTGATGTGGGTGCTACCATACCACAGGTACCTTGTTGCAAATGAAATCTATAAACTTTGAGGGTGGATTTTGGTGAAGTTTTGTCTCCATGAACAAACTGCAAAGGGCAGAGCAGAGCAGGTCAGCTTGAGTCTGAGCCAAAAATACTGGTGGGCCAGCTGCATCTTTTCCCTCCTTCTCCAGAATTAAAAGCAACAAGAAGCCTCTGTCATGATGGCAGGTGGGCAATCTAGTTATTTTGCAATTAACAAAGTTTAAAGGGCACTTTCTGAAAAATGTGCCAATGGGCCTAAATTACTATCAGTTTTACACTAATGTGAGTAATCTATTATTCTTTGATTTATTTTTAGCTAACTCTGTTTTTCAACAGACTGTCTTGCATTTCATGTTTTGATTTAATGCAGAGGCATTTGCATAAATAATTTGAAATTAGATATAGTGATTGTGATGTGAATTTATTGAGAATTTCACATCATTTACTTTTATTCTCAATACATTCACTGTTAAACAAGAAAAGACACCTAACAAATTCAGATTTTTTAGCATTTTGTTCCTAACAGTTTTAACACTGTTTTTGTTTGTACAATATGTTGTAGAGAAGCAGCTTGAAATAGTGGAGAGAACTTTGTCATTAGAGAAACCTGAGTTCGACTTCAGTTTATATAGTCTTTTTAATCTCAGCTTTCTGAAGTAACACTGCTTAATATTCAGATACTTTAATATTATATTCAATGTATGTAAACTATCTGGTAGGTCACCTGAACCCAATTAATTGTACCTACTGAAATTATAAAGAATATTCTAGACAGAGTTTAGCTACTCTTTAATGTAGCATCCAAAACAAAGAGTGGAGCAAATGGCACTATTGCTGAACACTAGACTAAAAAAATAAGCTTACACTAGCAGAATAAAATATTATTTTCCCAGAGCAAATCTCAAGCTGTACTCTTTAAAATTAAAAAAGGCAGGGGGTATATGAAAAATTTTCACTCAATTTTGCAGTGAATCAAAAACTGCTCTAAGAAAGAAAGTTTACTTTAAACATTTAAATAAGAAACAGTTTTAATACATGTGTGACATAAAAATTTTACGGAATATAATTTTGATTTAACAAAAGAAATCCTTTGTTAGCCAGGAGACAAATGAGAATATGTCGTCCAATAAAATGGAAAAGACTGAAGTGTTGAGACTTTCCGGTAGTTGATAGAAACACTGTATTCTATAATTAGACATTTTAAAATAATGAAAAAAGCACAGCAAAAAATGTCTACAGGCTTCTCAAAGAATGTGTAAACTTATGAAAAACGTTTACAGTTTTATCTTATACAAACATGGGGTAGTTATTGATAAGGATGAAAAAGTTCAAAGTCCTTTTCAAAATTTGGAGACTAAGGACTAATGGTAGTCTTTTAAAATTAATGGAAAAGGGGATTAATATTGACAGTCAGTTATATGCCAGGACACCAGGACCTTTATATATGTGATCTAATTTAGCACTCACAATAAAATATTGATGTAGATATTATGAGTTCCATTCCATATATAGATCAGAAAACAGATAAAGCAGTTAGGTCCGCATTTACCTGGAGTTACTCTAGCAGTAAGTGGAGGGCTGAACTCCATTCACAGATCTAACAGCATAGGTTCTGCTCCCTCTACTTGTCTAAGGCTGACTCTTAGGAGTCTCAGAATTCTAGTTACATACTCATTTCTCTTTTCTATTTGAAAGTGATAATTCTCCAATTTTAGATATTTTTGGAACATTTTAAGGCTACATATTTTATACAGGGCTCATATTCTGAATTTTCAAAATATTAGATATATGAGGGGGATTGTTTTGAAGAATACAAGAGGCTATTACAAGATAACCAAGCTGTAGAACATATAAGGATGCGACTGACCTAAAAATCAACTTGACCTAGGAACTGGAATCTCATCAGGATGAGTAGATATCAAATTAATAAGGAGCACTGAACATTCAATCACATAGGGTTCACTATATGTCTATAACTGCAATAAAAATAATTCCACAACAATTTGATTTTGGGAAAGTCAGTTTACATATGCTAGCTCACTGCTCCTTACAACTCTGTGATAAAGGTTAATGGTATCTCCTCCTGGCTGATAAAACTGAAGTTCAAATACAGATAGTAGGTGTCAGGATCTTGGTTGGAACATATGTCTCTGATTCCTGTCCTGATGTGGGTGCTACCATACCACAGGTACCTTGTTGCAAATGAAATCTATAAACTTTGAGGGTGGATTTTGGTGAAGTTTTGTCTCCATGAACAAACTGCAAAGGGCAGAGCAGAGCAGGTCAGCTTGAGTCTGAGCCAAAAATACTGGTGGGCCAGCTGCATCTTTTCCCTCCTTCTCCAGAATTAAAAGCAACGAGAAGCCTCTGTCATGATGGCAGGTGGGCAATCTAGTTATTTTGCAATTAACAAAGTTTAAAGGGCACTTTCTGAAAAATGTGCCAATGGGCCTAAATTACTATCAGTTTTACACTAATGTGAGTAATCTATTATTCTTTGATTTATTTTTAGCTAACTCCGTTTTTCAACAGACTGTCTTGCATTTCATGTTTTGATTTAATGCAGAGGCATTTGCATAAATAATTTGAAATTAGGTATAGTGATTGTGATGTGAATTTATTGAGAATTTCACATCATTTACTTTTATTCTCAATACATTCACTGTTAAATAGGAAAAGACACCTAACAAATTCAGATGTTTTTAGCATTTTGTTCCTAACAGTTTTAACACTGTTTTTGTTTGTACAATATGTTGTAGAGAAGCAGCTTGAAATAGTGGAGAGAACTTTGTCATTAGAGAAACCTGAGTTCGACTTCAGTTTATATAGTCTTTTTAATCTCAGCTTTCTGAAGTAACACTGCTTAATATTCAGATACTTTAATATTATATTCAATGTATGTAAACTATCTAGTAGGTCACCTGAACCCAATTAATTGTACCTACTGAAATTATAAAGAATATTCTAGACAGAGTTTAGCTACTCTTTAATGCAGCATCCAAAACAAACAGTGGAGCAAATGGCACTATTGCTGAACACTAGACTAAAAAAAATAAGCTTACACTAGCAGAATAAAATATTATTTTACCAGAGCAAATCTCAAGCTGTACTCTTTAAAATTAAAAAAGGCAGGGGGTATATGAAAAATTTTCACTCAATTTTGCAGTGAATCAAAAACTGCTCTAAGAAAGAAAGTTTACTTTAAACATTTAAATAAGAAACAGTTTTAATACATGTGTGACACAAAAATTTTACGGAATATAATTTTGATTTAACAAAAGAAATCCTTTGTTAGCCAGGAGACAAATGAGAATATGTCGTCCAATAAAATGGAAAAGACTGAAGTGTTGAGACTTTCCGGTAGTTGATAGAAACACTGTATTCTATAATTAGACATTTTAAAATAATGAAAAAAGCACAGCAAAAAATGTCTACAGGCTTCTCAAAGAATAGAACACCTTTCA